TCGCCCCCCTTTTGGATATTTCTGGATCCGCTCCTGCCATGGTCCTGGGTGTAATTCCTGTCCGTGTTACAGGATTTACCACGATAAAACAACTCCACACTCTAAGGCTCATAATGAGTTTATAGCATCATTATGTTTGTTTTGTGAAGGGACTGTCAGTAATAACTATTTTTATTGGCAATATTTGGCCTGTGACCTAACTGGATAAGGATAAAAACGTTTCATGATTAACAATATATTTTATTTTATGACTCCTATATACCATGAATGTATGAACAGCCGAACATACAGTAACTTCATGATAAGTGCTTAAATATAATAGACTTAAGTCAGGGACGTATACAGCGGGGAGGGGAGCCGGGGGAGTCGCGGCTTCCCCCCCCCCCTACACAGTGTTAACATTTTAATGCTTGTTCTTGCTAGCCAATACAAATTCTTTCCAGGGATCATTCAAATAAATACTTCTGAACTATGTAAATATGCATGAGCACACGTTACATAGGCCTACTATAATAACACATAGGCCTAAGCGTGATTTTTGAAAATCTTAAATCCATAAATCACAGACCAGGTCTTTTCAGATACAGAAATGTGATATTGTATGTGGTTCAGTTTGGTTTTCATCCTTTTGCAAGCTCTATAAAGTTTTGTATTAATACTACTGTACATTACTACTAGTAGTTATAATAATAATAATAACTATGATGATGACGATGGTGATGATGACGATGGTAATGATGATGAGATGGTGATAATAGATAATAATGTTAATAATATTAAATAGTGAATAAAATTGTGCTAATGGTGAAAAGTAATTTGGGATTTGTTGATCAAAATTATTATAGTATAGTTAAAGCTTAGTAAGCTATAGTTAGGCCTAAGGTGTCTTGGATATCAAGTATATTCCTGATAAAAGATCATGAGATATTTGTTGGCGCGTCATTTTGACTTTATAATGATAATGTGATGATGATGAATTTTACTATATAAAAGTGCTATTTCCGGCCATCTAATAGTACTATTTCCTCAAATTTTCTCTCCTCAGCCCCAACTATGGTGGGGCTGACTGAGGTGGTAGTGAAATCACGGCTTTGAAGAATGTAAAGTACATACACAAAGACAATGTTTTTAAGCTTTATTTTCTTGGTACATCACACATATTAATAACGTCTTTATGGTTGCCGAAAATCCCTGATAAAAGATCATGAGAAATTCGTTGGCGCTTCATTTTGAGTATATAATGTGATGATGATGAATTTTACTAAAAATGTTCTTTTCTGGTCATCCAGAGATACTATATCCTCAAATTTTCGCAACTCAGCCCCAAAAATGGTGGGTCTGAGGTGGGTTTCGACTCACAAAATGTCCACCTCCCCCTTCCACCTTTCAAAACAGACTGCGCCCTTCATTAAACTCCATCAAGTTGACTCCTGACTCAGAGTATGTCTTAGTGACTGCTGATGAGGCGAGAATAAATTTGTTTTTAAATGGCAATAACCTCATTTATGACGAATGCAAACGAAAATCAAACATCCATTCATCGTATATTTCGGATGATAACATATGTTGACACTAGCTTTATAAATACAATACTTTTACAATTATATGGAGATGGTCAATATTTACTGACTCTTACTATAAATAAGAAAGTATAATACATACTCCAAGTATTGAAATGCACGCCATAGTGTTGGGATTCTATACTATACTATAAATCATACGAAGGGTTTTTGTTTTGTTTTGTTTTGTTTTGTAGCAGGGTGGTTAACAATAACGATTTTTAGACCTATACAAAGGTGTATGTGATTTATATCACAACATTTTGAAAAATTCAACCTTATGTGTACTGAAACTATAAATATGGTGTAAAAAGTGCGTCAGATTTTTAATGACGTAGGCTTAGTTTTTAAAATATGTGGGGAAGAGTACATTAAATTAAATCACTGAATTTCTCATTAAAATAACCATGCAATGAGATTATCCGGTTGATTCATTTATCACTAATTTACAACCTTTGTACTGTATACTAAAACAATTTACTTTTACTGCCAGTTAGTTTATCACTAATTTACAACCTTTGTACTGTATACTAAAACAATATCAATAAGTTTCAATATCGAATAAGCTCTAATCAAATTCAACTAGAGTATTAGCCTATCAGAACCACTTTTTATGTATGAATAAATGCATTAACTACTGCTATTTTACTTGTTTTATAGGAGCATGTTCCCGTCAAACTTGGTAGAAGCCACTTTCAGAACTGTGAGTTATTCTATTTACTGGTATATTTTAATCACAAAATGGATGGTGAATATAAGCGTCACATGCTACTGTAAAATGCCCGTTGTATGGATTCGTAGTTTATTCATATTCATTCACAATTTACAATTTAATTATTATTGATGATTGATTTATTTGGCATAAACGCCTCACACCAAACCCAAAGGCAATACTACGAGTTTACAGAGCAACAATCATAAAAACACGAAATAATTAAAACAATAATCACAAAAAGTCCTACGAATTTCAGAAACGTCCAAAGTAGACGTATATCATAAGGGAAATGCGAATACACCTCGCCTCCATTCAAAGATCGTTTCATACACGAAAATCGAAAAACGTTATTGGCTAACAATATATCCATATCATTTTGCTAACTTATCAATTATTATGTTTAGCCAGATTAAACCCTGAGTTGGTACCTGGTGGGTCGAATGCAAATGCACTGATTAACATGCAATAAAAGCCTACGTCCTCCAGGCAAAATTGAATTGAACTAATTTGATTTCTCTCTATATACAATACATAAAATACAAAGTAAAAACAAATAATTTAAAACAAATACAAAACATTACAAATATACTGGATACAATAAGAGAAATCCCGATGGGGTCCACAACTTTCCGATGGGGTCCACAATTAACAAACATATTAGAACAGGTAAAACCTATCAAAAATTAGTATTAAATATTTTAATAATAGTATTTTAATTAGAACAACCTTCACGTTTTAATAATTTGGGCTAGATCATTAAACATGTTAAAAGCGAGATTTAGTTGGAGCTGTGTGACTTGTTGTTTAATATTTAATAAGCGAAGTGACTCAATATTTGATTTTAAAATATGATAATAGGGATCCTTGTTTAAAATAAACCTAATAATTTTATTTTTGTGCTCGTTGAAGTTTATTACAATTATTTTTCGTTTTCTCTCCTATTATACAGTGATCTTATGCTGTACCAATATTTACATATGCGTTCACAATTCAAAACAATTTTGTATTTGTACATCATTACAATATAAAACAAATTTAAAAGAAAAATTAATTGCATCTCATAAGCATACTTTTTTTAATAGTAGGAGAAAATTGCACATTTCCCGTAATTCATTTCCTCCATGCCTATACATACATACAATATATGTATTATGCAAACACACACATAGGCCTACACACACACCCACAAACACAAATACATACATAAATACACCAACAAACACACACCCACGCACACACCCACACACATACCCACCAATAAATTACACATACACATAGTCCTACGTAAAAAAAAGCATACCCCAAATAAAACAAACACACATACACTACAGTGTACCAATTATTAAATATTTTTGTTTTCCTCCTGCTTTTCATTTTCTTTAACCTTAATTACTGTACCTTTGCAATAGACATTCTGTTTATACCTTCCACATTCTTTCATTCTTTTTTTTTTTGCTTTTACGAAATTCTCATTATTTCCTTTTTCCCTTTTTCTTTTTTGGTTTACATTTTCAATCATAAGCAAAGTGATGTACAGCTCCAATATCATAATGTTTACAATGCACACAAATTCAAAGTTCAAAATTTATGACAAAATTAAGAAAAAGAGACATTTCTCACATTATACATTGTAATTAATTAAAATTTAATAATAAGCTTATTGGATGTTAATCTATCTCTTTGTTATTTCAAGTACAAAACTGATGTTCAAGAAGAACCAATAGAAGCAGTAAGCTCTGAAGATCTCTCAAACGTGATGCTCAATTCTGGTGTTTCCATTGCATCTTCACTCGTCGCCATCAATGGCAGTTTGTTCATTATTGGCAACAAGATGGTACAGTTCAATAGCAGTCGTCTGTCTAATTCTGAAGTAAAAAGTGATATGGCACTATTTCTACAAGAGGTCGACTCGAGTTTAATGATGATAGACAACGTTCAGAAAGACCTGTCCCCATCAACCACCGCACTGAAGTTACTAATGAACCATACGTCAGCAAAGAGTTCATTGCTGCAGATGCAGGTAGATGGACTGACAACTGATCCTGTGAGTGAGTCTGAGATGGAGATGCTGAGCAATGAAACGACTAGCTTATCAACGATGTTGGTATCAACTACGCGCGAGATGGTTAGATTGGTTGGCATGTCGTCTGCCTCTGCAGGAACCATGGAAGAAGCTGCTCTTGCTATGAGTTCAGCACTCAGCGGAATCAACCAGATGTTCTTTATGATCGACTACCACAAGATCAACCAGATCATGATAGATATGAATGATCTCAGTGGAGAGTTGATTGACGCTATCAGAAAAAGCGATACAAACTCCTCCTTCGTTGAAATCAATTCCATCATGACGATCATGATGAATATGACGGTGACGTCAATGCACGTCCTGGACATCAAGAGCACATTAAACCTAAATGACCTAACAATGAGTCTAATGCGCATGACTGTAGATGTACTGTATTTAATGGACACAGAAAAATTGAACAGCTATGAGATCGTGACAGAGATGAATTACATTCTAAAGAGAATGAACACCATTATGATTGAACTTTCAACACTTAGCACTGCACCTTTAACCGGTGATTTAGATGAACTTAACCAAATCGCATCTCTTGCAAAAGCGATTCATGAACTTGCCGACACGATGGCGACAGTCGTAACTACTGGAATGGATTATGTCATTTTCCACCGCTCTAACGCCACAGTAACAACTGTTTATGTAGGTGTTATGTCTGACAGTATGAACATCTTAGGAATAGTGGTCTTTGCCATTGCGTTTGGTGTATCTGTTGCACGTGTTGGAGAAGATGGACGTACTGTTATAAAGTTTTTCAGTGCCACGAATGAAGCAATTATGAAATTAGTTACGGTGATTATGTGGTATGTTACCATGTTAACAACAATCACAAAGAGTATATGACTTTTAAATAAACAATTTACTGTGTTTTATTTGGTCAAACATCAGTTCTGTATTCCATGTGAAGCGACTACAAATTGATCCTCTAAAATCTGGCGCACAATGCCTTTATGTCGGCAGCCAATGTAAATCCAGAAACATGGATGATGCAGATTGTTTTAAACAATAGTCCAATCAGACTCTCACTGACAGTCGGCAGATGGGCATTGCATTGGATTCGTTGTCAAATCATCGCAGTGTGCGCCAGGCTTGATAACGAACCTCTTGTGGCACAACACATGGAATCAGTGTATGATTATTATCATCAACTGGAGAAGCACACCTTACCGGTGACAGCGTTTTTATGGTTTTGCTTCTCTTTGGCTTTTATATATTTGTTCAGATTTTGTATTGTTATTTGTTGCCGAAATGAAAAAAATTAAAAAAATGAACATCTTCACTCTCATCATCAACACCATCTTGTCGTCATCACCATCACCATAATATGATACAGTATTATAATTATCACATTATCATTATCATCACCATCATCATCAACTCATCATTGTCATCATTATACTATTTGTCATGTTAATAACCTTTACTCTTTTCCTTTTATTTCCAACTAAAAAAAAACCCAACAAAATGAACATCTGCACTCTCATCGTGTCATCACCATCACCATGATATATCATAATTATCACATTGTCATTATCGTCATCATCACCAACTCATCATTGTCGTCATTATACTATTTTGCCATGTTAATCACCTTTACTCTTTCACTTTTATTTTCAACTTTAGGTATGCTCCGATTGGCATCCTTTTCTTGATAACAGGAAGTATGATTGAAGTTGAAGACTGGGAAGAGTTGTTCACAAAACTTGGAGCATACATGGGAACAGTTGTAGCTGGCCTAGCCATACACGGATTCATAATTCTACCTCTATTGTACTTTGCGTTCACACGGAAAAATCCTTACAAATTCCTTATAAACGTTTCTTCAGCTTTCGTAACAGCTCTCGGAACATCATCAAGGTAACGTTTCTTGCTTAAAAATCATTAAGATGAAACCCTTTGCGTAATCTGTGTATTTGTAAGTAACAGTAAGTGCAGTTACTATAACTACCATAAGTCTGTTACAATATATATATATATATATATATATATATATATATAAGAGAAACAAATTTGTCCATATAAAAAAATTAAATTCCTGCCGAGCCACCAGGGCTCAGAGGGCTGGAGTTTACCCCCAGTTTCTGTAGTGTGAAGCAAAGGAGAGTGTAATACTCCCCCTGGGACACTGGTACCCACTGATACAGCTGGCTAGACTGAAGCAATGTAGATGAAGTGCCTTGCTCAAGGACACAAGCAAAATGCACAGCGAAGGATTCAAACCCAGACCTCGAGGTTTGGAAACCAAACGATTCCCACTGCACCGAACCACTTCCACAACTTGTCCATGTGGCCTATATATATCCACATAAAATACTGTTACTGTTTTTACACAGTTCTGCAACGTTGCCTGTAACAACACGATGTCTCGAAGAGAAGAACGGCATCGACAAACAAATAACTCGCTTCATGCTTCCCATTGGCGCAACCATCAATATGGACGGTACGGCGCTGTATGAGGCAGTTGCTGCTATTTTTATTGCACAAATGAATGGTATTCCACTAAATGTTGGACAGATAATCACCATCAGTCTGACGTCTACGTTTGCCAGTATTGGAGCTGCCGGGATTCCTCAAGCTGGTTTGGTAACCATGGTGATTGTACTCACAGCTGTTAACCTACCAACCAACGACATTGCTCTGATTTTGGCTGTTGATTTCATTTTGTAAGTACAGTTTAGTCCATTTACATTAGGGATTTGGATTAGTCTTATGGCATTGTTATAGTGCTACTTGTAGTTCTGCATGTATGTTTTTACATCAGATCAGTTGTATTGAAATATTGTTAATGAAGTTTTGAAAATTGGAATCTTTAACAATAATTACATTTATTATTCACAAATATTAATTACTCAATATTTTTATTTTTACATAGGGATCGTCTCCGAACAGTGGTCAATGTAGAGGGCGATTCAATTGGTGCAGGAATTGTTGACCACTTGACACAAGGCAATGAAAGCTGTGAAGTACATAGCAATAAAGGTTTTGAGGAGACTGAACTACAAACAGGTGGTAAAGTGAATGAAAGTGATCTGCCAGATAAAGTGATAGTAAATGGATCAAGACTGTAAAAAGATAAACACATAAAAAGTAAAAAAGACAACATTGTGCATACATTACCAAAATGCTATCAGTTATGCTGTAACTATTTTAATGATATTTGTAAAACACATTCATAAAATACAATTAATTACTTGCACATTAACATGTTTAAAATTTACAGTTTTCTTACAATATTAATAATTTAATACAAAAAAAAATCCAAAAAAATTACTTATAGAAATACAGGTCTCCCTCCACTTTTCCATGGTATTTACCAGCTTTAGTCTCCAATTAGAATAATAAAAATAAGGCCATATTAATTTAATTATTTGTCTCAAAGCTCTCCAGTTTCCAAAAACCTAATGCTGAATGCAGTTTAAAAAAAAAAAAAAATTTAAATATGTTTTAATAAAAGTATTTCTATTGTTGAACTGAATTTGAAAAGGTCTGTTGCAGGACTCTCTTCACTTAAGAATTATAGTGTGTCAACACACAACATATTGTAGGCTATTAAAGGGGGTTAAAATTCAAGCGAGACATTTTTTTTTGAAAAAAAAAACTTTGAAAAAAAAAATGTTTCTACCTTTTTAAGCGAGAACAACGTGCATGAATTTACTAATGCGCGCAGGAGCTTTGAGACAAACAATTTGGATTAATATGGAGTAAAAGAATTTGGGATCACAGAAAAGTGGTTTTTAATTGGAGGTGTCTTTAATTAGAAGAAGTTAATAATGAATTAGGTGCTAGTGTAGTTTTTGAAATGTTGTATTACACTTTCTTACTTACTAATTTATAGTAAAAAATAACATTCAAAAGGTTGAAATATATTAAAACAGACAGACTGTAGTTGCTATAGTTTTTTGTCCAATGGCAAGTTCTCGGGCTTGTATATTTTATCTTTGCCCTTTTCCCAAATGGAATGTTGTATTCATGCAGCAAAAGGTAATAATAAATTATATATAGAATTTATAGAGGACTAATTTCAATACTAAGTTAAGTTACAAGATGTTATTACTCTGGCAAACTGGTATAAAGCTACTGGTGTATGTTCCGATTATTGAATAAAGTTTTAACATAAAAAATTGCAGATACCTGTCACTTATAATCAATTGTGTGGCTGTTTTGCCCACAGACACAAATATACCATATATGAGATTAATCTGAGATTCACATAAGTATATAAAGTTTCATTATATGATACATCTTCAGACCAGAAAACATAATCTATTGCCTCATAAACATTATAAATATACAATAGAACCATATTAAGGGATCCCCTTAATGGGGTTGGCTGTCCCCTTAATGAGGTTGGTTGTAGTGTGAAAAGATATAACTGTATTTTTTCATTTCGAGGCTGAAAAAATTGTCTCCTTTAGGAGAGATCTTACTGTAGATAATTTCTTGATCAGAACAGTTTCTGTCTCTCTCTCTTCTTCTCTTTACGAAGCAAGGAATGGACTTCATCTGGTGGCAGTGTCACTAAGGAAAAATAAGAATCAATAACAACTATTTACAAAGTATATTGTAAAAATTGGTGAATAAATGAAATGAATGAATGAAACAAACAATCTGTAATAGCAACAAATCTACAGGGAGAATGCCGGGGGGTGAGGTTATTTTTAGAACATTTGCATAGACGTATGCGAACACCTGAAATGCTAGGTGGCGCCAGATGGAAATGAGCGTTAGACAACATGGAAAACAACTACACGGTCGTGCAAAATCACCGCTGCGCTAGGATTGGCTGAAGCAGTGTGAAGCCACTACAGTATTATAATGAACAGATGTGACTGGCTCTAGCAAAACCCTCAATTTGTCGCATTTTCTAAAACATTTGAGAATCAAATTGTTAACATTTTCATGTTTTTCGCATTTTATAAAAGAAGATATATTGAAGAACATTTCTGTAAAATATCAATCACTAAATCTAACTGAAAAGTATATTAAAATTATATTTAAAATACAAATCTTAATGATAAACTATTGATTTTGGAATCTTTGGAAGCTGTTTTCTCAAAACCTACATGGTTGATATCCAATGAAATAAATATTCACAACTTTGCCAATACTCAACCAATTTCAATGAACACTATCAATGATTCCAATAAATTTTTTTATAATAATAATAATAGGATTCTCCATAAAGAGATACATTTATTATACAGGTATATCACTTGATTAATATACTCTCTATCCTTGTATTTAATTAAAAGTATCTACTGTATTATTTCTATTTGATTTTAAGGTTTCATTCACCAGGCTTTTTACTTAGGTTTCACAAGGCAGAGTTTTAAATTTTAAATCACTACACTCTGCAATTAGAAAAATAACGAATAACTGAATAGCACAAAACTTACATGGTTTCCTGTGGGATGGATTGATAAGTCGTGCAATGCTGACGTCAAATAAGTCTTCATTTTCGTTAGTACCATACATGATATATAACTGTAGCAAACAGAATGATAAATCACACAGACAAAATTAATCGATGATTTCATTTATAAGTGATAAAAATTTACCTGGATAATTTGCGGAATGGTATTTGGCAACCATGTGTCAGGCAACCATGCAAGGGGTCCCAAAATGGAAAAAGTCATTTCTGGGAGATCTGGTTAAGTGAGATTTCTTACATCAAATTTTTCTGCACATGGGGATACCTATTGTAACCTGGGGCAGGGTGGGGGCCAAGTTGGCTCCAGGATCCCATTTTGCAAAGTCAAAATAAAAGAAAAAAAATCGAAAGAATGAAAAAGAAATAATGGGAATTTTTCGGGTGTCTAGAAAACAAAAATTTCACGGGGCATGCCCCCGCCTCCCCTTAGGCTAGTGT